CCCCAACAAACACATGAAGAAATGTTCAACCTCACTAATCATTAGGGAGATGCAAATCAAAACCACACTGAGATACCACCTAACCCCAGTCAGAATGGCAATCATCAGCAACTCAAAAAATAACAGCTACTCGAGAGGGTGTGGTGAAAAGGGAACACTTCCACATTGTTGGTGGGAGTGTAAACTAGTGCAACCTCTGTGGAAAGCAGTGTGGCGATTCTTAAAAGCTCTAAATACCAACCTCCCATATGACTCCGCAATCCCCCTACTGGGAATATATCCTGAAGAACACAAATCATTCTATAAAAAAGATACCTGCACACGCATGTTTATCGCAGCATTGTTCTCAATAGCAAGAACCTGGAAACAATCATCCTGCCCGTCAAAAGGACTGGATTAAAAAAATGTGGTACATATACATGAAGGAATACTACGCAGCCATAAAAAAGAACAAAATCATGAATTTCGCAGCAACCTGGATGGAACTAGAGTCTATAATACTGAGTGACCTCTAACAGAAACAAAGATCCGAGTATCACATGTTCTCACTCATATAATGGACCTTAAACTTCCAATGCAATACTATACGAAAATGACTGACCGTACTGGAAAACTATGGTGGGGGGAGGGAGATGGGATTAACAGTAGCAAATATCTGTCTGGGAACAGGGAAACACCCCATATCAACAGTGTGCCTGAATGAAACGCAATTGTATACCTAACCCTTAACTGTACCCCACAACTTCACAATAAAAAATACAATAAAAAATAAACAAAAAACAAAAACAAACAAACAAAAAAAACCAAAAAAACTTGAAGTATGAATGAAATTTAACAAGTATAATAATAAAGTATAATTTAACAAGTAATAAATCAAGAGGGCATTCCAAGTGGAAGGTACAAAAACAAAAGATTGGAGGACGAGTGTATAAATTCTTTGTGTGTGTGTGTGTGTGTGTGTGTGTGTGTGTGTGTGTGTGTGTGTGTGTGTGTTAAATAGGGATACTGGGACAGTGCTTCAGGGAACAGCAAGTACAGCAAGTAGCATGGCTTCCCTGGTACAGACAGTAATGTGGAAAGAACTGGTAAATAAAACTAGAAAATTGTATCCGATGCTGTAGGTCTCCTAGAATCCCTAACTGAGGAGTTGGTATGTGGGGAAATACACAGGTGGCAGGTAACTTGAACCTGGGAGCAATATGTCAAGGATTTGAGATCTCAGAACTTAGCAGAAAAGGGTACATGATTGACTGGTGAATGGCATGATTGCTCCATGTGGCATCATACCCACCACTAGCCATCTTGGCTGTAGTGAAAAGGTTAGGATTTGTCTTTGAAGGCACTAGAATTGGATTTGAATCTTAACTTTACCACTTATCAGCTGTATCATCTTAGCCAAGTTGTTTAAACTCTGACTCTGTTTTCTCATTAAAAAATAAAAGTGATGGGAGGCAGGAGGTACATAAAGCTAACCTACAAAGATAGTTGTGAGACTTTGAGTTTCGAAAGTGAATGTGAAATATCTAGCTCAGTACTTTGCACGTAGAAGATACTGAGTAAAGGCTACTTTCTTTCCTCCCAGGCAATTTGGAGGAAAATATGAGTTAGTTTCGGCATAAGGAAGAAAGAAGATGGACTAGAATACTGTTAGTAGACAAATGGTTCTTAGAATTTTTTTTTCTAATTGTCGCCCTGTTGCCCAGGCTGGAGTGCAGTGGCACAAACATAGCTCACCATAGCCTCGAACTCCTGGACTCAAGAGACCCTCCTCCCCCGACCTCCTGTGTAGCTAGGTCTACAGGCGTGTACCACCACAGCTGGATAATTCTTTGTTACCACACCCAGACTTAGAATGTATTTAATAGATATTTGGCAGAAATTATAAAGGAAAAATGACTTTTTCCAGATGAGATATTCATACCATAGATTGGAAAGAACATGAATTTTGTTTGATTTTCGATATTCTATGTGATGTCACTCGAAAGATTCTTTTTGCTCTGTAAATGCCTTTTGAGTGACTAAAGATGCTTTGTGCATACTTAAAGCTTAAAGACATTTTAAAAGTAAATTCAGTCTTGGTGGAAAGTTTAAAGATTACACTTTCCCTCCAAATGGGTGTTATAGAAAGAGCTTGAGCTGGGTGTTCGTTAACTTGGTGTTCGTTAACTTGGTGTGTGAGCTTTGGCAAGTCATCTAATCTTAAAGGGTCTTAGCTTCTTAGCAGTAAACGAAGTGGATGAAAGCTAAGGTCATTTCAACATTGTTTGAGGCTGTCTAGATATCTTCTCACCCTCTTTATTACTCTTCTGGTGCATTTGCCCAACTGCCTCAGAAACCAACAGAACACGATGTCACTTTTAGGAACTTTAGCACTTAATCAAATATTGTCAAACTGTTCTTTTTAACTTACTAACAACAAGCTTCCCAAGTCTTTCATCTACACCTTGGTATTACCTTTTCCTCTAGTGATGAAAACCCACTTGCCTTATCTTCTTTTCTCTATCCTCATCCTATATAAACTATGAACTTCTCTGAAAATTCTGCCATTCAAAGTCAGAACTCTGCATAGAATCTTATAATGTAATCTTTAGTTTTCATAGATACTGTACTTATTTATACTTCTTATTTTTAGTGGTGTTTTTTCGTAAATAAGCTTCTAAAATCTTTTGAAGTTTGTTTTCTTCCTATTAATAGAATTGGCATTTAATAAATGATTCTGCTTACTTGATTTTGTCATGAGTAGTTAAATGTGAAAACTTTGCATGTTGACTTTTTCGTTTGTTTTTATATGAACAGCCAAACGTAGGAGTGCTTTTCAATAGAAAATTAATGCAGTACCTATGTTTTGAACATGTCGTCTGTCCTGTCAAATATGTTTATGTAGTTGTAGTTGAGAGAAGCAGTTTAATTACCTTGCCTGAATGTGACTGGAAAAAAAAATCTCTCTACAGTCTATAAGCTCATAGTGCTCTGTTCTCTAAATTTGCAAAGAATTATAAAGTAATGTTTTACATTTGTTTTCACTTTGCCTATTGGTAAAACATACTTTTTTACATCTATGTGCATATTGTTTTCATTTTCTCTGTTGCTTTTAAGGGAAAATCTATGTCAGATATTTGAAAGCACTTAATATAAACATTTTTAGTTATTCTTAATGGGAAGAATAAGAATCACAGTAGTTTCTCTTTAAAAGATGTAATGTTGTTATTGGCATCTTCATTAAATTTCTTTAACCTTCCAGTGTCATGATTTTCCAAGTGGTCAGCCAGCACTTTCTATACTTACATGTTATGTAAGAGAGTAACAGAAGTCTGTTCAAGGATTTTTGATGTTGCACTATGACTTTCTGTTTTTTAATGTGTTGTTTGAGCTTTGATAAGCTTTATAAATAAGAAAGGGCACTTTTTTTTTAAGGTTATAACTTTTCATACAGAATCTTTCTCATTTCTTTTTAAACCCAGGTGACTGTGGGGATCATGTTGTCATAATAAACACAAGACACATTGCATTTTCTGGAAACAAATGGGAACAAAAAGTGTACTCTTCACATACTGGGTAAGATAATGCCACTGTCAAGGAAAATACGTAGTAGAAATGTATTACTTTAAGAATACTTTTGCTCTTATTTAAAATAAAAGAAGATATTTCCAAAAATTGGGATTTAAGATAATACTTGCTGGGCACTGTGGCTTGTGCCTATAATCCTAGCATTTTGGTAGACTGAGGGAGAAGGATCATTTGATCCAGAAGTTTAAGGTTAGCCTGGTCAACAGAGCAAGACTTCGTCTCTACAAAAAGTACAAAAAATTAGCCGGGTGTGGTGTTGTGTGCCTATAGTCCTAGCTACTCGGAGGTTATTGCAGGAGGATCACTTGAGCCCAGGAGTTTGAGGCTGCAATGAGCTATGATTTCATCACTGCACTCCAGCCTGAGTGACAGAGAGATCCTGTCTCTAAAAAATTAAAAAGTTTACTGACCAGACACAGTGGCTCACACCTGTAATCCCAGAACTCTGGGAGGCTGAGGTGGGAGGATTACTTGAGCCCCAGAGTTTGAAACCAGCCTGGGCAACATAGCAAGACCTTTTCTCTATTATATTAAAAGAAAATATTTTACTCATGCTATGTATGTATTTTACATGCACACACTAAAAAACCAATATCAAATATTAGATATTACCTGACAGTATTTGTTCATTCTAGAAACTGTTCATATAATCTCTGATCAAGATTATTCTCATTTTTTAGTCAATCTTCTTTCTGCCTCCTACAGTTTATCTTAACTGCTATGTTTAGAACCATCCTGAATATCTGAGAGTTCGCTCTTCTCTATTTACAGTCTTGTTTGCCAGTGTCTCTCTTAAGTGCATACACTCTCTTAGATATGTCCTGATGGTTTCTAAGTACATTATGACTCCTTCTCCCATCTTTCAGTTGGGCAGTCTTTTGTTGCAATAGAACTTTTCTTCAAGGCCATCTTACTTAATGAGGTTCATCGAGTTTTCTCTCAGCTGAGCTCCGCAGTCTCTTTCAAGCATGCTCCTGTTGAGTCATGTCTCCTCCTTTACTTGTGCTTTAATTCAATTGCAGGACCTTAAATTTACATCACTTAGTTTATCTCCAGCCTTTTAAAATTCTGATTTTGTCATCTCATGTATTAGTTAGCCCACAGCTTCAGGTCATGTGCAAACTTAATTAAGTAAACTGTCTATACTGTCATCCAAGTTAGGGTTAGAAATGTTGATCTTTCGTTTTTGATCAAAACATTCTTTTATTTCCAACTGTACCTCTGCCTTTGATGTTCTCATCTGTTTCATCTCCTGCCCAAGTGCGTTTTAAATGCCTGGAATAACATTGCTGCTTCCTTGAGCCAACATTTGCCCATTCTTCCCCTTAAAACACATTCATGAAATCTTTATTTAACTTAACAAAAATGAATTTGCATCCATCTTTAGTAATTCCTGCTATTGGCAAATTTTTATCTACAAGCTAAGTTCTACAAAATTGACAGGTAATTGGGAAAGAAATATTAAAAGTCAGAATAACATAAATGTGATAAAAGTGTAAAGGAAAGTATGGACACAAAATGCTGCGGTAATTGCAAGAGCAATAATATCTAGTATTACTGCAAACGAAGGAACATAACAGCACGGCCAGTGGTGTGCGGCCAGTGGAACGTCTACATCAGCTGCTAGTGTCCCGTCAGTGCTGTTTTCTGACCAGTAATGCAAGTCAAGCTCCCTTATGCATCATTACTGCCCACTTGCCACTGCTGCTTCACGATCCTTCTTTTATGGCCAACATATTGCTGTTTCTTTTGCCACTGCCTTTGCGTGTGTTGTTCTCCGGACAGCAATGTCATTTCATCCTCTTTCTCTGGAATTCTCCTATTTATCCATTAAAAATTGATTTGGGTGTCACATTTTCCGGGATTCCTTTCCTATTACACGCATCATCACAGGGTTGGTCCCTTTTTGTTTCTGTTGACTCATAATTTATTACTACATCTTGGACATATTCCTTTATTGTACTTATAGCAGCATATTACAATCACATATTCAAAGTGTAACTTTCTGGTTGTAAAATGGTTAGTACATGCTGATTTTAGAAAACACATAAAAGTTTAAGAGGGAACTAAAGTTCACTTCTGATCCCATGACTTAATATTTTAACATATGGTCAGCCTTCCATATCGGTGGGTTCTACATTGTGGATTCAACCAGCCATGGATGCAAATTTTTTTCTTTTAATGACATCTACACTGAAGATGTACAGAGGTTTTTCTTGTCATTACTCTATAAACAATGCAGTATAATGATTTACATAGTATTTACATTGTAGTAGGTATTATAAGTAATCTAGAGATGATTTAAAGTACATAGAAGGTTGTGTGTAGGTTATATGCAATTACTACACCATTTAACATCAAGAATCTGAACACCCTCAGATTTTGTTCTCCGCAGAAGGGCGGAGAACCAGTTCTACACAGAGACAGAGGAACAACTCTGTATATGAGTTCCTATCCTTTTTCATTGAATATAAAATTCTCAAAGAACCTTTTTGTAAGTAATATTTTTGGTCACTATCTAGTAGTATACCGTATGATTTACCATACTTAATCATTGCTCTATTTTTTGAAATGAAAAACTTAACTTTCATAAAGAACTAGAGAACATCTTTATCCACTAATTTTTCCAGTGTATATAGGATTATTTAAAATAAATCTCTGGCCAGGCTCGGTGGCACAACCTGTAATCCCACGCCTTTGGGAGGCTGAGGTGAGTGGATTGCCTGAGCCCACGGGTTCGAGACCCGACTGGGCAGCGAGACCTCATCTCTACAATAAATCAAAAAATCAGCCGGGCGTGGTAGCGCATGCCTGTAATTCTGGCTACTTGGAAGGCCGAGGCGGAAGGATCGCCGGAGCCCAGCAGGTGGAGGCTGCGGTGGCCGGGAGTGGCCACTGCACTCCAGTCTGGGTGACAGAGTGGGACTCCAACTCAAAAATAAATAAATAAAATAAATCTCTGGAAATTAATGAATTTTAGGATCAAAGAAATAGTTATTTCCAAACATTAGTTTACTAATGCTTAGGAGAGCATAAGGATGTTTGTTATTTCCCCCCCAAAAAAAAAATAAAGAATGCTTGTTATCCTAAACCTGTGTGGACACAATCTTGTTTTTTTAAATGATTTGATAGCATTAAGACTGTGCCCTTTGGATATGCAGCTGCATGTTTACATATACATAATAATGTGGCCTCGGTGCTTTCCTCATCATGTTCTGTGAACATTTTATCTATTAAGCATGTTAACACCCTATTTTATTTGTTACTTTTTATAAAATGTTATTTGCTATACTGTAATTGTATATGATTAAATCTGTCTTTTCCCTTGTAATTTCTTCTGTTTTCCAGTCTCAGAAGTTCTTCCTTGTCCAGATTTTCATAAACATTTACTTCTAATTTACTAGGGATTGGTTGAGTTGGGTATGTGTACGCCCTGAACTTTCACATCTAACTCTTTAGACATCTAAAATTCATTGGCATGAGCTAGAGATACAGCTTACTACTAGTTGTATCAACAGGATAGCCTTTTTTTGAGGACAGGATTTTGTCATATTTATATCTGTGTGTCCCCAGCACTTAGCATGATAGACATTTACTAAGTGTTTATTGGGGTAATTTCAATGGAAACCCTTGGCTAGCATTTAAAACAACTTTTCTTTTACTTCATCCAGGCAATCCCTTACTGGAGAAAGAAATGTAGTTTATTTTTTCACTATTAAAACAATCAAATGAATATTGCAATACTCAAGTCATTCTCCTACTCAGAATTTTACATTAGCTTTCCAAATCTTTCAGGATCGAGTTCACACTTCTGAAATATGGAGTAAATGATATTATGCTTTAGAATTTGCCATTCCAGTGTTAAAAATAGAAAAATAATCCTTGGTGTAGAAGCTGTAAAGTATTTTTTTCCCATGGAGAGAAAAAAAATCAGTAATAGAAGTCTAGACAGGCATTTTTTTTCTTCTAAAACTGAAATTCCATGAAACAAATACAAGAATGTGACTTTCAAAATTACCCATTTTTCTCAGCAGACATTTACCTTTAAGTTTTATTCTTAAAACATGGTTTCTTAATTATCTTTAAAATGTTTTCAAAATTTTGGTTTAGCCATGATGAAATTACTGGTGATGAAAATCATTTGAAGTGTTGGAATACCATTATTTCTTGAAATGTGATCACAGTGTAAAGCAGAAATTCTAATTTGATATTTTATTGCATATAATATTTGATTTCAATTTTTTTTTTAATTTGTTATTTTTAAATTTTTTGAGTTGGAGTCTCACTCCATCGTCCAGACTGGAGTACAGTGCCACGTTCCTGGCCACTGCAGCCTCAACCTGCTGGGCTCCGGCGATCCTTCCGCCTCAGCCTTCCAAGTAACTGGAACTACAGGTGCATGCTACCACACCCAACTAATTTTTGATTTGTTGTAGAGACGTGGTCTCACCAAGTTTCCTGGGTGGGTCTCAAACATGCAGGCTCAGGCGATCTACTCGCCTCAGCCTCCCAAAGTGCTGGGATTACAGGCTGAGCCACCGAGCCTGGCCATGGCTTCATTTTACACAGAATAATGATTTTATGTTTAATTCAATTTATTCAAGATTGCATTGTGAATACAAATTATTAATTTTGTTCCCCAAAAAATTTATAATAGTGATCTAATAGTTTTGTTTTCTGTAAATAAATATTTTAAATAAATAAAATATTTTTAAATTTTGTTGAAAGAAATATATGAAAGGAAATCACATTTAAGTTATCGTAGGGTTTTTTGCGAGTCCACACTGGCTTTTCAGTTTTGTTCCCCCTTTCTTGAAAATCATTTGAACTAATCTTTATTTAGGGTAATAAAACCTTATATCTATGTATTAGAATCTGTTTTAACTTTCTTAAATCTTTCTCCAATATTTTCTCATTTGACTCTTAGAAATCTTGTGAGATAGATGGAGCAGATATTATCTGTTTGTTTTTGTTTTTTAATGAATAAAATCATGTAGAGAGATAAAATGAGTTGCCTAATATTATATTGGGATTTATTGACAAAACCCAGATTTCAAACCTGGATCTAAGGTAACTAAGCTGCCTTTAATACTATTCAAAATACATTTTGTAATTGCCAGTTTATTCATTTTATATATGTATAATGTTTGATCTGAACACAATGAAGTATTTTATTAGAGCTAACATATAACACGTGGCCTTCTACCAACTGCTAAGAGGAAACATGATTGTTACCTGTTTAGAGTATGAACTTGACTTCAGAGCCAAGTGGTTTACCAGCATTTTTCCCAGACTCAAGCCCTGGTTTATACAGACAGTTTATCTAATTTAATGAGGAACATGACATATTTCTTTCTTAAGTCAAGCAGTAATAAACTACCCCACAATGAATAAATGAATGAATGACTTAAAATTCAGATAGAAATATTCTTATGCCAATAAATTTTTCCAAGATGTAGAACTTGTTATAAAATGATAGATGACTATTTAAGAGAATTGCATCTCAAATAGCACAGGTGACTAATTTTGAAAAGACTAGTGAGCCGGGCTCGGTGGCTAGCCTGTAATCCCACGCCTTTGGAAAGCTGAGGTGAGTGGATTGCCTGAGCCCACGGGTTTGAGACCCACCTGGGCAGTGAGACCTTCATCTCTACAATAAATGAAAAAATCAGCCGGGCGTGGTAGTGCATGCCTGTAATTCTGGCTACTCGGAAAGGCTGAGGCGGAAGGATCGCTGGAGCCCAGCATGCGAGGCTGCGGTGGCCGGG